TAGCTTTTTTTTGTTTTTAAGATTTTATTTTTCCTTCTTCTTCCCAAGGCCCCCCAGTACATAGTTGTATATTTTTAGTTGTGGGTCCCTCTAGTTGTGTCATGTGGGATGCCGCCTCAGCATGGCTTGATGAGCAGTGCCATGTCCACGCCCACGATGTGAACTGGCGAAACCCTGGGCCGCCGAAGTGGAGCGCGAACTTAACCACTTAGCCACAGGGTCAGCCCCTGGGCCCTTAGCTTTTTAGCTTCTGAAATTCAGGGCTTGTCAGAGCATCTAGAATAGATCAGATTCAAGAGACGGACTCACTAAATCTTAGGAGACTTGTATATGAACCAGAACGTTTATTTGCAAAGAGGACTCTTCATTTCCATTATTTGGAATTTTCATTTTTCCCAACCAGGGCGCACGCCTTCTTGATCTGAGTAGGGAAACCGAATTAGTAGTTTGAAGAGGCTTTGGATCAGAACAAATGGAGTGGCTAATATCCATGAGCATTTCACTTACTAGGATGAAATATGCCTTCTTTACAAAAACTAGGTGAAAGAGCACTTCTTCATAACAACGTATTTTTCTAAATAAATGCAAAGTTTCTCTCTCCCTTAACAGTCTAGGGTCTGATGAACTCGTATAGTTACCTGGCTTTTGCTTTCTTAGATTCCGTGCTGACCATCCGCTTCCTAATACTGTTTTTCTTCAGTTGGTGCATAAGACTGTTGATTAAATTTATGCTTTCTCAGGTGTGATCTCATTCCTGGTATGTTGCTTTGAGATTATACCCGAATTTCCAAGTTTAGCTTATTACTAAAACACGTAAGGCATGTATTTACTGAAATTTTTTGCGTTCTTTCTACGGATGACTATCTCACTCCATCTCATCCATTATTTGTATATTTTATTTGTTAAGTTTCAGTTTTAGAGGATTCTGGTGGGCAAGGGTGTGACAGTGCTGTGTAGTGAAAATAGTTCCCATTCCCCCATTCCCAACAGTTACTTTTCCAGTGCTGCTTTATCAAGAAATGTAAGGATCATCCACTGGGTCTGTTAAACAAGCAAACTTACGCCTTGAGTTGAGTTGTATCAGATAACTTGTAAGGTTCCTTCCAGCGATTTTAAGATTCTCAATCCTGCTTCTGTCTCCTTGTTGGATTTCTTGGCTGTAGTGTCTAGATCCATCATCTTCTCTCACATTCTTTTGTCTTTTTTACTTATTTAGAATCCTACATATTTAGTGAGTTTATCTTTTCTTTTGCTGAAGCATTGTCCACACTGCCAATTATGCCTTACTTGCAATTTTGTAGTGCTGTCATCTAAAAAAAACCCCTGAGATTTAGTAACATAAACAGTGTCCCTTTGAGAATAAATTGTAATCATTCTTTGAATCTTGCTTATACTTTGTATGATTTTTGTATTTGAGGAATTAGTTTTTTTCAAGATTCTTGCTATTTTCTTCATGTGTATGGAAAGCTTTTTAATGGCCCAGATTTAATTTACTTATTTTTATGTAATTATCTCTGCAGTTATTAATGGAAATTTTCATTTTCAAACACTGATTTTATTGGTATTTAATGAAATTTGAGCAAGGGATGTTTACTTTGCTGTTGTTCATTCCACTGTCTTGCCAAAACTCCTCCCAATTATTTTTTACTACTATTTGTCATGTAATACAGAGCATCCTGGTATTATTTTAATCAACATCTTATGAAATCCATAAATTAATCCAGCTCTGGCCAGTGTCAGATCTCATGTTGTTTTTTTTTTTTTTAAGATTTTATTTTTCCTTTTTCTCCCCAAAGCCCCACGGTACGTAGTTCTGTATTTTTAGTTGTGGGTCCCTCTAGGTGTGGCATGTGGGGTGCCGCCCCAGCATGGCCTGATGAGTGGTGCCACGTCCACGCCCAGCATCTGAACTGGCGAAAGCTTGGGCCACCAAAGCCGAGCGCGTGACCTTAACCACTCAGCCACGGGGCCAGCCCCAGATCTCATGTTCTTAACCACTCTTTGTATAACAGAGGCGCAAGAGAAAGATAGAGATAAAGCAGCCATACATTTCTTTTCTTGTCTTTTTGAGTTCATAATAGTTTACATTATTGTGAAATTTCAGTTGTACATTATTTCTTGTCTGTCATCACATAGGTGCTCCCCTTCACCCCTTGTATCCACCCTCAACCCCACTTCCCCTGGTAACCACTGAACTGTTTTCTTTGTCCATGTGCTTGTTTATATTCCATGTATGAGTGAAATCATCTAGTGTTTGTCTTTCTCAGTATCACTTATTTTGCTAAGCATAGTTCCCTCCAGGTCTTTCCATGTTGTTGCGAATGGGACGAATTTGTCTTCTTATGGCTGAGTAGTATTCCATTGTATATATGTACTACATCTTCTTTATCTATTCATCAGTCGATGGGCACTTGGATAGTTTCCATGTCTTGGCTATTGTGAATAGTGCTGTGATGAACATAGCGGGACATATGTTACTTTGGATTGTTGATTTCAAGTTGTTTGGGTAGATCCCCAGTAGTGAGATAGCTGGGTCGTATGGTCTATTTTTAGTTTTTTGAGGAATTTCCCTACTATTTTCCATAGTGACTGCACCAGTTTGCAGTCCTACCAGCACTGTATGAGTGTTCCCTTCTCTCCACACCCTCTCCAATATTTGTTATTTTTAGTCTTACTGGTTATAGCCATTTTAACAGGCGTAAGGTGGTATCTTAGTGTAGTTTTCATTTGCATTTCCGTGATGATTAGTGGTGTTGAACACCTTTTCATGTGTTTATTGGCCATCTGTATATCATCTTTGGAAAAATGTCTGTTCATATCCTCTGCCCATTTTTTGATCGGGCTGTTTGAACTCAGTTGTGTGAGTTCCTTATATATTATGGAGATTAACCCCTTATCAGATAAATGATTTACAGAACTTTTCTTCCTCTTGGTGGTTTGTCTTTTGGTTTTGATCCTAGTTTCTTTTGCCTTGCCAAAGCTCATTAGTCTGATGAACTCCCACTTGTTTATTTTTTCTTTTGTTTCCCTTGTCTGAGAAGACATGGTATTCACATACATTTCTTATATGAGATATGTTCTCAGGCTACTTTCTGGTCACAGGATAATGTGAGCTGGAAATCTCTCTAATAAACTCCTTCCTAACCCCAGAACACTTATGAGCACAACCATGATGTGCTTTCAGTGGGAGGGGTTAATGGGTGACTCAGAAGGCATTCTCCCCCAATACCTCTATTTAAACTCCTGCATGCCTCTATTTAATTGCTAGATATGGTCAGTCTTAGCCTCTCACCTCCTTAGATGGGACACTTTCCTTACTCTACTTATGGAAGGCAGGCTTTAAAATGGCCCCAATGATCCTTGCCTCCTGATATTCACACCTGTTGACACCCTTTTAAAGAATAGAATACAACAGAAGTAATGAGATGTCAGTTTTTTGTTTTTTTAGATTTTTTTTAGATTTCATTTTTTTTCTTTTTCTCCCCAAAGCCCCCTGGTACATAGTTGTGTATTTTTAGTTGTGGGTCCTTCTAGTTGTAGCATGTGGGACGCCACCTCACCATGGTTTGATGAGCAGTGCCATGTCCGGGCCTGGTGTCCAGTTTCATCAAAAGAGTGAATATGAGAAATAATAGTTAGAAACAACCAAACTTTATTAACACTGAGGATCTTGCTTTCTGAGTTGACCTGGGGGAAGAAAGGCAACAAGCAGATTAGGTTTATAGGGGCTGTGTCTAGAGGGAACAGGACTGCATCTGTTGTGCTTAATCTTCAAAATCTCTCTTCAAAATCTTCAACTTCTAGAATTTCCCCTATCACCCTCATTCTCAATTGCCACTTTACCCTGGCCATACTGACCTCAGCCGGTTAGGGTAGGCCCAGGAAAATGAGAGGCAGAAGCATAACAAGGGGGAGCCCAGAGACTTCCAGACAAGGGGTAGAAGAAAAGTCAGTATGCGAGATGGCTGACTTCTCAATCCAAGATTTGTAGAAACTGATGTTTGTATAAACTCGAGGCTCATTGATTCGGATGCAGTTTAATCCCCAGCTCACCACTCCTGCCAGGACCCAGAAATCCTCCACGTGACACATCAGGGGATCTCCTCTACTGCCCTGGGGGAGAGAGGAAAGATGGCTAGGCCATGCACAGTGCAAAGGGAGAGACTCTCCAATAGTTGAGCCAAGAACTGTGGAGTTAGGGCCTGTCCAGGCTCTCCTGGGTTCACCCAGGGACTCTGAAGTTGGGGGACGTGGAGGAAGCACACTGGGGAAGGGAGGGGCTCTGAAAGGTGCCTATAGGATGGATTCTTACTATACACTGATCCATCTGCTCCTCTGGGAGTTTGGAGCAGATCCTGGCTTCACTGATGTTGGGCTTGACTCTGTGCAACAAGGTTTCTTTCTGGTAGTAGTCACTGCATGTCTGGAGATCAGTGAGGGGCACTTTCAGTTCCTTGAGTGTATAAGATGGTTTCCTATCTGTAAGGTTCAAGAGTGAAAGGTGACTTAAAAAATTAGGAAGCAATTTTAGCTATGGATATAGATTTCATGCCTCTGATTTTCAGGGATAGCTCTGATTTAAAATATTCTGCCCGCATATTAGGCAGCTTTCTGATTTCTGATTTGGGAAATAGCCTGAAGGCTGAGTTCCCTGGGTCTGAACAAGGCTGAAGGCAGTTGCCCCTGCTCAGATACCACACATAATAGAAAAGTCTTGTGATTCAGGAAAATCCAAAACAATGAATGATGGAGAATGAAGTTGTTTGTCTTTGGAATATATTTTTATATTCCATAGAATATAAAGAAGTGGTTCTAATATACTGAGAAGAATCAAGATTATTGATAGAAAATTGAAACTCTACTCTCCTAGTCTGACTTGGGACTTGCTGAGCAGTCTTACTTTCCTGAATACATCTTCATGTCTGCTTCCTCTATCCACCTACCCACACATACTCTACCCAGGTGCGGAGGGAGAACTGTATTACTTCTCACACTGAGAACTACCCTCTAAGTTCATTGCCGTGTCCTTTTCACTTTTAAGGTCTTGGCACTATTGCTAAACAAGAGCAAAAACAGATATAAATAAGCAAAGAGAGTACAGCAGAAGAAATATGAAGGAGGCAAAGGGAAGGTACAGGGTAAAGGAGAATATGAAGTCTGTGGTATCTCAGATTAATTGCCTGGAGAGTGCAATATATCTGGTGCTAGGGGTGGGATAGAGAGAAGGGGGGGAGAATGTCAGTTGAGGAAACAGAGCTCAGAAAATCTACTTATCCTCACATTGGTATATTCCAGAATAGCTCCATCCAATCACCCAGCAGGAGGTTGAGTTCTTCAGCTGAACTCCAGATGAGGGGAGGCAGATGGGCAGGATTACAGGGCTAAAGGAAACTGGGTAGGCCAGTTCCGCCACAGCGATGGCGCTCGATATGTTTTCCTGGAACTCAGGGTGGGGAATAATCCTGGACACAGGTATTATCGTCGTTTTGGAGTCTGGGCGACCAACGACCTGAAGCGACCCCACCAATACACCATATTTTCTGGTGTCCTTAGACCTGAGAAGAAGAGAAGCAGAACAGATAATCATGGGTTTCTTGTGACTCTGTCAGGGAGTGTCACAGCAGAGCCCATAGTTTTGGTGGCTGCATTTTCTTCTCTCTCTTTCTAAGCATTTGTTCCTTCAATAAGTGTTGAGCATCTTCTGAAAATATAAATGAGACTTAGACATGATCTGGCCCTCACAGGGCTTTTGGTCTTAAGGATTGTGTGTGTGTGTTGGGGAGGGGAGGGGAGACAACAAACAAGTAAACGAGTACAAAATTTTAAATTGTGATAAATGTTATGAAGAAAACAAACAGGATTTTAAGTTAGAGAGTAGAGGACAGGGGAAGAGTCTTTGGATTGGGTGATCAGGGAAAGTCTTGTTGAAGAGGTAGCCTTTCAACTGAGTCAGAAGAGGTAACTTTTCTACTGTGTCCTGAGAAGTAGGAGTCAGCTGTGAGAGCTATAAGGAAAAGCGTTCCAGACAAAGGGAGTCAAGTATGCAAAGGCCCTGAGGGTGAGAAAGCTTGGCAGTTTCTAGGAGTTGAAATAAACCTGGAGTAGAAAGGGATGAGGTTGGAAAAATGAGCAGCTATCTGATGATTCACAGTTTTTGGGCCACAGTGGGGCATCTTGGTTTTATTCTAGGTGCCTGGGCAGCCTCTGGAGGATTTGAAGATGGGAGTAACATGATCTCACCTCTGACTTTTGAAAAAATCACTTTGTTATGTGTATGAAGTTAGCAAAATCTATTATACTATTGCAGTGGTCCGAGGACAGGTATGTTAGAGTCAAAATGTATTTTGGAAGTAAAACTGACAGAATTAGTGTATGTAGTAGATATGGAGGGTGAGGGAAAGTAAGGCTTCATATTTATAGCTTGAGCAACTGGTTTTGTTGTTGAGTGAGACGGGAAAGACAGACAATAGACATAGGTTTGGGGATACTTATGGTGGTAAAATTAAAGTTCTGTTTTGATCACATACCTTTGAGATACCAGTGAGATATCCAAATGGGAATGCATCAGACTTAGAATTTGAGACTAGTGATGTAAATGGGGGTGTTATCAGCAAATATACTACATTTTAAACCATGGGAATGGATAAGGTCACCTAGGGAGAGTGAAGAGAGAGCTCAGAACTGTGCATCCAGAGTGGTGTGAAGATGTGGGCATGCTGTAAAGGGAGGGGAATGTCTCCTTGGGTAAAGACTTAGATGGGGGTGGGGAGGAGGCGGGGTGTGGTAACTTTTTTAGGCACTCGTTTCAATCAAGATGACTGTCAAATAAGAAGCCTGAAGTCTAAGAGTAATTGCATTGAACTGAGAGCTAGCGCAGGAAACATTTGGACCTACAGCACAATGTACTGTATGGGGCAGTGCGACAAACACTGCTCTCTGACCTTCGCCAAGGAGGTCCAGTCACCCTCATCCCCTGGTGGGTCTCCCGGAAGCACTCACCGTAAGCAGCTCGCTACCGTCAACACCCACCGCTGTGAGATGAGGGTGGCCGCACAGACGTGAAGCAAGCCGTGGCGGATGCTGACCTGCCAGGGCCACTGCCCCACGTTGGCCTCCATGCCTGAGGCAATGCCAGTTGAGACTGCAGGCCGCCCACAGACTGCCGACAAAGAAGAGAAAGATCTGGGAGACCTTCCCCAGAAACCTGCCCCACTGCTCCCACCTCTCCCTGCTCATTTCCCAAACTGGTATCCTCTCTCCTCCTTGGCACGAGTTCCGTTCCCTTGGTCCACCCAGGCATCCTGCCCCTGGCTGAGGCGCCTTACTTGACTTAAAGAGATTCTCTGGTTCCTCCTCCTCTGTGCCTAGTGAGAGAAAAGGGGGAATATGGGAGACATGCATGATGGATTCTTGGTGCCGGGGGGAGGCCCACAGCCCACGCCCTGTGCAGCTTCTCCTGGGCTGGAGCCTGTACTCCTGCCAAGGACTCTTCTCACCCCCAGGGGCTCACCTGAGACCCCCAGCAGAAGCGATAGCAGGAAGACACAGCCAGCAGGGCCCATGTCTCTTGTCCTCAGAATAAGCACTTCCTGTTTCCTGGACTCAGGCTCCCGGAGAGAGGCCAGCTGGGGAGCAGCCCGAGAAAGGGGGCAGGACCAGCTTCTCCTCCTAGTTGGATTCCTCTGCTTCACCCCTCTCCTCTGCTTTGGTTTTTATCCAGGGCCAGGGACTGAAGGCATCCAGCCAGGGGCTAAAGGGACCGGACCGGAAGTGTAGCCGCAGGACCCAGGGGGAGGAGCTGGTGCCTGAGGCGCCCCCTGCTGTCCAGGGAGGGCAGGGTGTCTGGGGTTCCCGCCTATGGGGTGGGGGAGGGGCAATGGGAAGAGGGCAGGTTGGGCTTACCAGAGGAGCAGGGCTCACTCAGTGCACAGTGACCTGATGTAGGGCGAGGCCAGGCTCACAGACCTCCCTCTGCCCAACCTGCCTCGTCTGGCCTGGTTGCTCCCATCTAATTTCCCCTTGACCAAGGGTGAACCAACCTGGAGCAGATCCCTGAGCTTGGATCACAAGGGGCTGTGCAGAGTGGCTGCCCCAAGGCCTTGGCCTCTAGAACGATTAAAGAACTGACAAGAGAAAATAAAAAAGAGGAAATAAGCTAGTCGGTTAGCTGACCAATATTTCTGCTTTCTGTGTTTCCTGTTTTTGCTTCAGTTTCTACCTGTTATAATTTGTTCTTTGCCTTCCTAAGTCAGCAGGTATTTACTGGGTCTTGATTGTGTGCAAGGTATGGTGTTAAATGTAGAGCAGGATCTATAGATAAGCGTGAATCATGGGAGCTGCCTGCCTTCAAGGAGTTGACAGTCTAGAAGGAGAGAGGTGGAATAAGGAAATAATTCAGGAAGTTTTCATTTGTAATTGATATCTTGTCCATTTAAAAAAGGGAGAAGGGAACTCTGAAAGCTGAATGACAGAGCATTTGTGTGTGTGGCTTGGGCTGTTCAGCTTCATTCCTAGCTCCCCCACAGATTGGTGTTGAGAACTTTTGAGCTTAGACAAGGCACATAACCTAAGTGCTGAGTAAATGGTGATTGCTATTTTTAAAAACATGATGATGATGATGATGATGAAGCAGTTATTGAGACTCTTTAATGTTCTGGGCGCAGTGCTTGGCACAGGAGGCCATCGTGGATACGATAAAAATAAATGGGATTAGAAGGCCTGTTGAAATAAGGGAGAGATTATGCTTCCAAAAATCAAGAATGGGATTATTATGTTTATTGAAATTGAGAATTAATTTAGCTTGAAGCCTTCTAGAGACCCAGGCCAAAAAAAAAAAAAAAAAAAAGATGAGCTGCGTAGCTCACATTATCTGTTAATAAGAAGCATACTCTTTAGTCGGGAGATAACTTTGTCCGCTTGGCAATAAATTCAATGAGTTTGTTAAAATATTGTAAAAAATAAATCACATTGGTTAACATAATAAGCAAGTTTGTAGGGGACTGAGAAACATTCCTCATTTTTTATATTATCTCTTAATACCGATGCCATCATTTTGAATCATGATTAAGGCATTTCTGTGGAGAACTAAACTAACTTAAATGAAATGTTTATATTTCTGTTATATAACTTGAAATAAAAGTAGAACTTAGAGAAGATGCCTCTTCCCTCTTCACATACCACTCTTTCCAGCTGTGCTTTGGTGAGGTCCATATTCCGTAGACACTCTTTGGACTGTCTTGACATTTTATTGACACTTCATTTCCTTGACTAAGGAAGCTGTCTTGTATTTCTGCCTCTATGAAAGGCCATCTCAGCTTTGCCTAGTTATGGGCTGCAGGAAAACCTATGGGAAGAACAATTCCAGAGCCAAAGTTGTCAAAGATCGCAAGACGGCAAGTCTCATCTCCCCCTACTAGAAGGGAGAGGAGGTCTCAGAATAGAAAGCAAAAATAATTTTAGCCATAATGCCCAGAAGTTAGAGTTATAGGATACTAATGTGTATAATTAATAATAGACACAAACTCTAGAGAGAGAAAGACAGTTTAGAATCTTTGTTATAATTCAAGTTGTCCTTTTGTTTTACAGAGAGAATAAACTATTGTCTAGAAATGTTAAATTAATTCTAAATAGTTTAACATGTGACCAGTTACAGAAGTTTGACACTATTTTAGATTTGTATAACATTTTCATCCACAGTGTAGCTCTTTGAAGGAAGCCTGTTTTCATTCCCATATTATAGATGAGAAAACTGAGGACTTTGGAGGTGAAATGCCCTAACTAATTGTGTTGTACTGTGCACTAGCAAGGCTGGGAATTGCTTCTATTTCTTAGTCTAGTAATCAGATACAAATCCTAACCTCCTGATTCATTGTGTAGTAATCTTTTCCTCCATGCTACAGCACCCTCCCAAGTCCAGGAGATGTCATTCATTTATTCAGCAATCATTTTTTCAGTGCCCATGCCAGGCACTGTTCTAGAATAGAGGAGTGACAACAGAGAAAAAGCCCCTCTCCTCATGGAGCTTATATTCTAGTTTTAGGTCAGATCATGACAAGTGCTTTGGAGAAAAATAAAACAGAATAGGCATGCTGGGGTGGGGCATAGCTTTTAAATAGGATAGTCAGGGAAGGCATCGCTGAGGTGATTTCTGAGCAGGTATCTGAGGAAAGAGAGGCAATGAGCCAGTTGGTTAACTGAGGGAAGAGGGATTGAAGCACAGAGGATAGCAGTACACAGCCCCTCAGTCAAGGGTGTTTGGAACATTTGGAAAACATTGAAGCTGGAGCAGAGTGAGTGAGGGGCTCCAGTGATAGGAAATGAGGTCAGACAGAGAATGGGGGCCAGACCATGTAGGCCCTCCTGGGCTACTGTGAGGATTTTGGTTTTGATTCTTAGTAAAATATAAGAAGATTTTGATCTGACTTAAAGTCTTAAATGGATGATAATGGCTACTGGGTTGAGAATGGTCAGGGATAGAAGCAGGAGACCAGTCAGAAAACTGCTTTTATAATCTGGGCAAGAGGTGATGGTGGCTTTAGACCAGGTCTGTGGAGGCAGAAGTAGTAAGAAGTGGCAGATTCTGGTTGCGTTTTGAAGGTAGAGCCAATGAGATTTGCTGATGGATTGGAAGTGGGTATGAGAGAAAGAGAGGAGTTAATGACTCCAAGGTTTTTGGCCTGAGCCACTCCAAGTATGGAATTACCATTTACTGAGATGGAGCACAGTAGGGGCAGCAGGTTTTTGGGAGATAGAGAAGTTCGTTTATATGTGTGTTAAGATGCTTAATAGGCATCCAACTGGAGATATCCAGAAGGCAGTTGAATATGTGAATCTGGAATTGGGAGATTTCCACAAACTGAAGGGTTAGATTAGGGTGTCACCAGCATGTTATAGTATTTAGAGCCAAGACTTGAGATAATGTAACCTAGGGAGTGAGTATAAATAAGGCCCACTGTGAATTTTATGGACTAACCACACCAAAGTTTGATAAGATAAACAGGAACCAGTAAGAGACTGAGAGGTTAGCAATGCGGTAGGCAGAGAACTGACAGTGGTATTCTGGAAGCCAAGTAGAGAAGGTGTTTCCGGGAGGAAGAAGTGATGGGCTGCAAATGCTGCAGACAGCAAAGAACTGACCATTGGATTTAGCATCATGGAATGGTTTCAAGAGAAAGAGGGGAGTAATTGGAGACAGCAAATATAGGCAATTTTTAAAAGTAGTTTTTCTGTAAAGGGAAGTAGAGAAAAAGCTGGCAGAAGAGCCTGGGTGGTGCAGTTTTTTGTTCTTGTTGTTTTAAGATGGGAGAAATTACATCATGTTTGTGTGCTAATGGAAATATTCAGTAAAGAGGGAGAAATTGATGATGCAGGAGAGAACATAGGAGAATTGCTGAAGTGGGTATCTTTGAGAAGACAGAAGAGAACTTGGACCTAACTCATTAGTTGGGTGGGGGGCGGGGGGAGGAGAGGAGGATGCTTAGATTGGAACACCAACGGGTCTTTCATATGATAGAAGCAAAAGCAAGTTTGTGGGTACAGATGCCGTTTGGTAGGAGATGGAGTGGTAGACGTTCTCGGCTGATTGTTTCTGTTTCCTCAGTGAAATAGATAAGGAATCATCTATTGAGAGTGAGGATGGGAAAGAAAGTGTTGAAGACTAAAGAAGAAGGAGTGAACTACTAGTTATATACGAGTGTGGGAGATGAATGGACCAGAGAACTAGTAGTGTGATTGCTGGGCAGCAGAAAGGATCCACTTGAATTGAAAGTGAAATTGACATAGTTGTGTGTTCACGTGGGTGGAGGTGTAGACAGAGCAGAGGGTTGGCTATCGCCATAGTGAAGTTTTCTGAAGTGGATATGATGAAGGGAGAAGGGGAGAAGGGAGTGATTATTATGATAAATCATGAACTTAAGGTGGAAAGGAGAGAAGTGAGGAACGAGGTGGGTGTAGAGAGTAAAGCAAGGTAAAAATCAGCGGATTATAAATCCTAATGGGGTTGAAAATTATTGGAGTTGGCATTCTTGATATAAGGAGTGCAAGAAAGATAATAAATGTGCTGGGAGGATGAGATGCTTTAAATTGAGGTCATGGAGATGGTATAGTTACAGGTGATAGCAAGGCCAGGGAAGACCATGGAAGTAAGAAGTGAGGTCAGGTGAAAGATCCTTGAGTCCTGAAGGCAGATTATGGTGGAAAGGCAGTGAAAGTTGGGGAGGAAAGCAGACAAGCTTATCAGGAGCATGCAGAGGTCAGTGGTTCTTCTTTCTTTCACTCTCTCTGGAGTCCTTCAAAGTGAGGATCTGAACACCGAGACACCAGGCTCAAGAGCCACTGAAACTTGACTGCATCCATCAGTCAGCAGGCTTTGTTGACTGACCTTTAACTGATATTAACTGAGATTAATCTAGCCAAATTGCTACTTTTTTTCAGCCAAAGTTTTCCATTTGGTTCAGAAAAACCATTGTGGCAGACTTTGTTAGGTCTAGTTCACATATGACCAGGGCAGATTGCCCTTTCTCTCCAGGTAGGTCGATGGAAAGAAATCTAGAGTTAATACTTATTATTAAAATAGTAATAGGTCTGACTCCCTCTTCTGCTGCATGCTGGGTATAATATATGGTTGGGTTTTTTTTTCTTTACAATTATTGAAAAGATTTGAACAGTAGAGAAATGCATGAAGTAAAATACAAAGTTTCCTTTCTTACTTGGTTTACTCCTAGCACCTCATAGATTGTTTTTTTGAGCATCATTCCAGGTTTCTCTCCCTATCTTTCCCTCTTTCAGCCTATACATATATTTGTTTTTGCAGGGGGGTCTGTATACACGTCTGTGCATATATATGTTTATATCACAGAAAAAAGTGGAAATATTCTATATGCAACTTAATTTTTCCCACCCAAAGTCTTTCCATGCCAGTATATACAAACCTGATTGCTTTTTTTTATAACAGCTGTATAACATTACACAACACAGAAGTAGCATAATTTTAAAATCATGACCATGTTGATGGACACTTAGGTTTTCTTTATCTTTTGCTATTATAAATTATGCTGAGAAATTATACATATACATATATATATATATATATATATATATATATATATATATACGTATATATATATATTCTTCTTCTTGTGTACTTGTGTAATTGCTATGACATGAACTGCTCTGACATGGAACTACCAAAGGAGAGACAGTGAGTTTTAAAGTCTGATCTGTATTGCCAATCATCCTTCAAAATGATGGCACCAATTTATAGTCATTGAGAGCATCTCTTTTCCCACCTCCTCATTCATCCTGGTTATTTATCCTGACCCTCTCCATTTTAGCCAATCTAATAGGACCGTTAGGAGAAAACATTTTAACCAAACAATACCACACTAATTTGGGGCGAATTACTGAAAGTGGGGAGTAAGAAAATAGGAAGATATTTCATTCTTATTCCTTGTGCAGCAGATGGAATATTAATGCTTCTCCAAATTCTAAGACTTAGCTAAAACGGAGAGGGCCTTAACTAATTCTCTAGTTAAAGAGGAAAGTGATCAGAGGCAGGGCTGGAGAGTAATGGAAGTCATCAAAATAAAAGGGCAGACCTGATTTCTCTTCTTTTGCTCCTGAAAATGTTGCTTCTAAATCTATTTTTTTAACAAGTTTGCAGAGATTTCAAGTTCTCAGGTAAACTTTTGTAAGGT